GAAATTCCCCAATTTGACTGGAAGGTTTTTACCTTTTCTGATATGTAGGCAGACTCATTGTCAGTCTTGATCTGTTTTGGGGTACCCAGAGTTGCAAAGCAGCTGAGCCTTATCACATCTTTTGCCTTTTCCCCAGTGTGTGCAGTGGCAGTGATGCATTTTGAGTGTGTGTCAACTGTAACATATACATATTTCAATGGGCCAAATTCAGGTATGTGTATTATATCTGTTTGCCTTATCTCATTTGCCACTAATCCTCTGGGGTTAACTCCCTTCTGAGATGGCATTGGAGTTATTTGTTGGCAATCTGGACATGACATGACTATGTCTCAAGCCTGATTGAGTGTGATTTGAAATTGTCTCTTCAGTGAACGTGCATTCTGACAAAAATGAATGAGACAGTTTTGCTTGCTCTAAGATTCTGGGCACTGTGTTAAACATAGCTGCTGCATCCATCCTCTGGTTCCCCTCTGCTATGGGCCCTGGCATTTCTGTGTGTGCTCTTATGTGCATGATGTAAAAATCAAACTTCCTGTGGTTAACAAGAAACCAAACAGTACGCATTTCAAACAACAAGTGAGGGTTTGCAACCTCTTGAAGGAACGAGCTTTAGAGATGGGATACTAAACCTGCTGCATAGCAAGAGTCTGTTACAACATTAACAGGTTGCTCTGAAAACCTTTCCAAGGCAATATGTATAGTAGCCAGTTCCAGAACTTGTAAAAAACCTTGTTTCATGGTCTGCACCTCTTGTTCCCATTGTCCTGTATCAGGGTTTACCCATGTCACTGCAGCTTTCCTGGTCCGTCCTGATGCATCAGTAAAAACTGTAAGGCATTTTACTGGTTCGTGTTTGCATCTAGTTGTGGCTTTTAACGGTAAGTTACCCATTTCTGCCCAAAGCCTGTGTTTAGGGTAATGTACAGAAATGTCACCATCATAGCCTGCCAAGGCAGTCTGGAATCCTACATCTTCAGGTAGCAGCCAATCAAGGTTGTCCTTCGTCGCCAGGATGTAGATGGTTGCAGGATCCTGGCTGTCCAGCTCCTGTAGATGTCATTTGCCTTTAATGACAAGCTTGGCAAACATTTCCTTAGTGGTCCACACAATTTTAGGAGGTGAATGGGGCAGAAACAGCCACTCTAGGACCCTCAGTGGATGTTTTTCAGTTTGGTCCCACTGAAACAAAACTGCAAATGGCTGGAACCTGCTAGGAACAAGAGCAAGGCAGATTTGCAGTTCAGGATCTCTCCTTCTACCTTGTCTGCTTTCGATTGCCTTGGAGCGTGTCTCTAAAGCCTGCTTTAGACTGCCTCTGCAGTCAGAGACCTGCTAGACGTTAAGTCTGAGCTACCCTTTAACAGGGCGTGTAGCTTCTCTGTGGTTAAGCCTAAGATAGGCCTTAACCAATTGATGTCTCCCAGAAGCTTTTGCAGTTCGTATAAGGTTAAGGTATCTCTTACCTCGAGCTGAAGTGGCTGGGAAGAGATCTCCTGCTGCGTGATTCTCCATCCAAGATAAGTCCAGGGCTGTGATCACTGGATTTTTTCTGGAGTGACCTGCAATCCTGCGTCTTGGGCAGCATTGATTAGAGCAGTAACAACAGATTGTGTAGGAGGCGTGTCCATAGGTACAGAGGGATGTACCGAAGGCAGGGAAGCCCAAGGGGGCATGCACCTAAATAGACAACCCCATTGGTCACAAGGTCACATGGTTTTAGGGGATAAAAGGGAGCGCGAGATTTGAATAAACCTCTTTGATTCTCACCGTATCGGAGAGCGAACTGCATTCTTTATCATATAAAGACCTCCACACTATGGTGGTGCACCCGAACTTGGGACTTAGAACCTACATTAGGCTAGACTAGCATACCCTGAATGAGGAAAAATATCGGTAAATTCCGTTTATCGTATCAATTTTGTGGATACGGGAATTTTTCACCAAAAAAAACTTTGACATCTATAACCTTTGTCTCAGTTGCATCTGAGAAATGAAAGTTAATATAGTGAGCTCAAAAATATTAGGAAAAAGTGCACAGGAACAGAGAAAAAGAAGAAAAGAAGAAAAGAGGAAGCCGAGAAACCGAGACGGCAGCTGGAGACAGCGGAGTGGGGTCCGACATCTACGCAGCGGTGAGTGAGCTGAGAAGCCGTGCTAGCACCCAACATCATGGCTAGGACTACTCCCTGAGCAGCTGTGTGCCTGCAGCTAGGAAACCTGGGTGGCAGAGCATGCTGAAACCGCCGGGAAACCCTTGCCGCCCGCCGCCGCCTTGGCTGAGCCTAACACACGAATCTCACTGTGGGAATCTGAGTCTATCACTCCAGGCAGAACAAACAAGCTGATTATAGTGGTTGACGAACTCTCTATTAACAGTGCATACACCCCTAGGTTCAACGGCCCCCAAACCCCGTAGGAATTAATACTACAGCAGTGAATATTATAGTTATTGGTTCTTTGCTGGATAAATCCAACCCAGCGCTGGCTGTGGAGGAGGGGCGCAGATCGCAAGCCTGTTTTCCTGAGTTGAATTTTTTTTGATGTGCTGGGATGTGTGACTTCGTTCCCCATCTCCACTTTCCCTGCTGTGAGGAGTTTTTTGACCCCCGCTTCCCATGCTGACACTTGTGGCACACTGCCATGGGGGGTTTCTTGGGGCAGTCCCTTTGAAAATGATCAGCATCACCACATCTGAAGCAACCGCTTTTAGGTTTTGCCCCCTCCTGCACTCTCACCTGAGCGCTTAACGTCGTGGCCAGAGAAGCAGTTTGGTGTTCAACCGAGCCAACACCGTGGCAAGTTTGAATCAGTTCAGCAATGCTGCAGCTTTCCCTTTTAGGGAGAGCTTGCAAGGCTCTTTTACAGTCTAGATTCAAGTTCTCAAATGCCAGTTGCTTAAAAAGCATTTCTCTACCTTCATCGTGCTCGATTTGCCTGTTTAAAGCAGCTTGCATCTGATCGAGAAACTGAGAAAAGGGTTCAGTAGAACCTTATACAACTTTTGTGAAGGACAGATTACTGTCTCTGTCTGTAGTGGGGAGTTTTCTCATAGGTCTTAAAGCCAGTTTCGCAATTACTTCATAAACTTCCTGGGGATAGCCTGTTTGTGAGTCCACAGTGGCAAAATTCCCTTCCACTGTTTAATCATTGCATGTTGTGCCTGCTTGTGGATCATTTGCACGGCACAATTCTTTTGAAAATCCGTCAACCAAACGCTGTACTGTGTATTTGTTAGAACCAGTTTCAGCAAGGTTTTCCAGTCATGTGGGGTAAGTTGAACTCAACGTCTCCAAATACGCAAGCGTATTGGTCGAGAAAACACCAGTGTCTTTTACCAACTGTCTCAGTTCCTTTTTTACCTCATAAGGCAGCAGTTGGAACTGAGAGGCCTGGCGTGGGTGGAATACGACTGGACATGCATGGATCACCTGCAAATCTCCCATCTGCATCATCTCCTCTTGACGTTTACCCCACCGGTCAACCAATCTCCCTGCACTTGCCCCCTCGCTCTCTCCTGAGGGGACCATCTCCGATCCCTCCTCATCATCCTCTAATGCCTCTCCACCCTTGGCCCCAGTATATTCGGTTCCCCATGGTAGCGTGACAAGGGATGACTGACGCGGCGGGAAGGGACCTCCCCCCCCCATGCCCGCGACTGGAACAAGCTGGCAGCGCGGCTGGAAGAGACAGGTCAGGTTCTGGTCTGTTTCGCATGCAAGGTGTCTGCGCCCGTGCCGAAGCACGTGGTCACTGTTCATCTGCAGCATGAGGGAGTAAATTTGCTGGGTTCCCCCCCATCGCTGTAACGGGGCCCCATGTGTCGCTCCTGTGGCCTGGATTTTCGCACCAAGGTTCCTGTTCCCTCCTTGCAATCCGTGCTCCCGCCAAAACCAGAGTCTAATCCGACACTTAATTCACGAACATCTCCTGCCTGCCCGCGCTAATCCTCCCCTATTTGTGTATGTCTGTGTGGTGGATTTGGGCTGCGGTTAACAGCCTGGTTGGGGGTTTGTGTATTGGCGTGGGTTGGGTGTTCTGTTCGTCTTTGTGCTGTGTGCAACGCATTCATGATTATTGACCATGCAGGGATGGTGTTATTAGCTTGGGGATCATCTGCTCTGGCTTTATTTCTCATGAGTTTTCCAAGTTTGTTCCAAATTTCTATATTTAAAGCTTCCACTAATGGCAGTCTTGGTGCTACGGATTTTATCCATTACACAAGTTCTGTTAGCTGTGCACATGTGGCTTGTACTTGGTATGGTCTTAACAAGAGGCAGAGAGCCTCTGTGTCTTGGTTTATTTCTGTAGAATAGCTGTTTTCTATGTTGGGTTTACCTTATCCAGCCGCTTTTGGGTCTCACGTGTGTGTGTTTTGTTCACGGCTTCTGCAATGTTACTTTCGATTTTGGCTTAGGCTGGAGCTTTTGCAGTCCTGGCAGCTCCAGTGTCTCGCTGCAGCGGCTGAGACTCCTCGCTGTCTCTGCAGGCGGTGGCTCCAGGGGCTGCAGCGGTGGATCTGTCAACAGTGGTTCCCGCTCCCTCTGTGGCGGCAGTTGGCGGCAGGTCCTGCAGCGGCGGTGGTGGCGGCAGGGCAGGCACCAGGCTCGAGGCGCGTTGTCGTCAGCCTCGATCCATCTTCTCTCGGCTTCTTTTCTTCTCCTGGATCAGTGCACTTTCTATCTTTTTCGAGCTCAGTTTAATCTTGCGTCTCTCAGCTGCTTGCTTACCCCTGTCAGAATTTTAATTCTTCTAATTTCACAGGAAAACAACCTAGCTCAACTCAACCAACCAAAGGACAAAAAATGAACAAAAAAAACCCCAAAAAGCACAAACAAAACTCAAAAACAAACAAACAAAAACAGACAAAAAAACAAACAAGAGAGGAGAAAAGGGTGGGCAGTAAAAAGAACATAAACCCTAATCAAATAGTTTCTGATACTCTATAGGCTCATCAAGATGTATATTTTTCTTTTGAAGTGACTGGAGAGTTTCCACCAAAGTTTAAGTGAAAACCTTAATATATTTGTATACATTTTTAAAAACAGAAAGTAAAAAAAAAGAGTAATCAAAATTAAGACCAACATTAAATATATTATACAACAGGTTTGCAGTATTTGACTACTCTGTGAAAAGACTGACGAGTAATCTGAAGTGTTAATGAATAAGTTTGCCTGTGGGTTCAAAACTATTAGTAATTATTAACACTAACGTGACAAAAATTGAATCACCATATGTTATAATAGTTTTGTTAATAAAATATTTTTAAATACTTCTCTTTCTTTTTATTTCTTTTTAAAAATATACAGGTCTTTTAATCTCACGTTCGCATAGAATTGGGGTTTTTTTCCCTACACACCTGAACTTTTAGGAGAAAATCTTTCTTTGCTCTACACTTCAGATTCTTGCGCATTGAATACATATTTGAATTTTCAGATTGGCAGAGTCAGAAGGGACTGTATTTAAATAATAATTCTTTATTCAAATTTACTCAACTGATTTCCTCCAAGAAAAGACTGAGAGTCTCCTACATCTTCCTTTTAAAAATCAGGTAAGTACTTGAAAAAGTATAATAATGAGACTTTTTTTTGTTGTTATACATTTCCTGACAAATTTTGCCACTCTGGATTACCAGTCCAGAACATATGAGATTTTGTAGAATGAAAATGATGCATGACTGTTTTAAATCAAGGGAGAAATATTTGAAAGTTTATTTCAATATTATCATCATAAGAAACAAACTGTTGGTTTTGCTCCGACAAGTCATCTCCTCCTCTCAGTTTTCCATTATAATTCCTGATAAAAGACACACCATATAACTTTAAAATTTAACTTCCAATAGTCCTCCAGGGAAATGTAACTTAAATGCTTCCTAATACAGAGTCTGCAAGTTTACACATGTTATTTATTCAAACGTTTCTTCAATTGTTCTAGATGCCTTGCATCAGCATCCTGGAGGACTAACACAGTACTTTTAGACTCAAATGGATCAAACTCAATAGTCATCAAACAACAGAGGTCTATCAGTTGTTTTTGACATTTCTCTAAACCATCCTTAAGCTTCAGACGTAAAGCGGGATCCTTTTTCAGCCTATTCATTTCAGCCACCGAAAAGCCAATCAAGCTTGTTAGAATATCATCAGCAAAATGTACTTCAAGATAAGCAGAACCATCAGAAATTTTGGCCTTTATACCCCAGGACCCATTGCTGCTTGTGAGGTTTCCAGTGAGAGTAACAATAAAACACTTAATTTTCAGAATTGTAACAGTTTCTGGTTTTTTTGCAAGGAGAAGGGAAACGTATGTGAAAGGTGAAGAATTTAAATCTAAATGTGGCTCTACTGCTCTGCAAGGAAAGGTCTGCAAATCATGCTTCTGCTGAACTGCTTCTGGATCTGTTTTTGAGAAAAATTCAGGATCACCATTTAACACACTGCTGTCAGAAGTGTGCTGGGATTTACATCTCCTTTCATCTAAGTCTGTATCAGTCTGCCCTTCTTCAGGATGATTTTCCAAAGAAAAATCAGAACTGCAGGTCTGACGTATGCTTCTGAGCTGCAAAAAGCTATTCCTACTATTTCCACCTTCATCAAATATTGTTTTTCTAAAATTCTTTTTCTTGCTGATAGCTTCCTTAGGTTTATCTCTTTCATTCACATCACTTTTTTCACACATGCCATTTAAAGACAAATTGCATGATCTTCTAGGTATACTTGGAAGTCTTTCAGTAAATAAACCTGTGTTTCTGTTCATGACCACTGGTGTCACTTCATCCAGCTCTATTTGCATCTCTTCCAGAAAAAAGTCATCTTCTAAAGGAAAGTCATTTAAAAAGCCATCAGCATATTCTATGGGAGGTGAAACTTGTTCATCTGAATGAGGAAAAGGGCTTCCAGATTCCTCTATCAAAACATTTCCATTGTGTAAAGTCAGTGCACCTGAGGTTGTACTAAAATTGTTGCTTCTGCTGCAACATCTGCTTTCTAAAGATGTTCCATTGTTTAAAGTATAGTCATTATTTTCATCAAGACTGGCTAAAAGCTCTTCATCTGAAGGGCCAAGAGTTTGTTCTGATTCATCCACAGGCCTGGAAAAAATCTGTTCACGACCAGCTTGTCCAACAGAATTACAGTTTTCAGTTTCTCCAATTAATCTAGCAAGGACTCTTTCCTGAGAATAATCCTCAAGAAGAGCGTCCACTTCACCCCCCAACAGTTTCACATTTTCTGGTTTAAGCAGAAGGACTCCAAGATGATATGCAATATTACCCTGTACAGTGATTTTTGTTCCAGGAGGAAGACTAGTGTGCAGGACAGGCACCGGTTGATATTCCATGCCCTGAATTTGATGTATTCCATCAGTTAGTTGTAGCATCAGCATTCGAGTAGGCTTTGCTTCCCAGGGCTTCTGAAATGCCTGAGTATTGGCTGTTACTTCTTCATTTACAGTGCTTTTTCCTCTTAGCTTCTGCAACTGAGAATATGCTGGCTGGCTAACATCAACCAGTGAATCAATCTGTATGGAGTAGAAGCCTGACAACTCTCCTTTGGGAGCATCCAAGATGCAGTCAGGCAAAATGGGATATTCCAAGTCTCTTAGATCAGTAAGAAGCCACTGCTCAAACACTTGCTTGTTAATCTGAGCTTGACTTAAATTACTACCACTATTTTCCTCCTGGATCCAATTAATACATGCTTCCAGCCATGTCAAAGGAACTTTAACATGCCATGTGGATGAAAGCCAGGTTTCCACTCTTGCTGCAATGTTAGATGTAGACATTTTCTTTTATAGTAATAGTGAATTCCCTAAAACAGAATCCAAAAAGACATATTTACTCTTCTGACAAAAGCTGAAATTATGACAAGTCTCATGCTCATGTTACATAGAAATTTTAAATTAAAAACATTCTACAGACACTAAAACTCACATGCATTTCCAAGATTTAACACTTTAATCAGCATAAAAATTATGCGCAATTAGCAGGAAGTGTGTGCAAAATATCAAGGAAGGACGGAGATTTATAAAAGCAACCATGCTTAGTGACTTCTTTTCTGTTGATTTAATTAGAAACATACAACTGAAATTGATTTCTTGTGGATGGAAAGTGGATAAAAAACCCAACCCAAAAGATAAGTAAGTTGTTTAATATATATCCTGTACTTTTTACTGCTTCAATTCTGTGGGTGTTGCTGTTAACACTCAGTTTACTTTAGAAATTGACTTGAGATGTTATTCTCCCACTTCACCAGCACTGTTATGAACAGAAGTAAGAGACTCTACAGAACGAAGCTGGGGTTTATCAGCACTTGTATAGAGGGGTGACTTTCAGTCTGTAACTGGATGAGAGCTTTTTCCCTACAACAGAAAGCTAGCTTGAAACATTGTTATCCAGAGATTCCATCCAGGGTTTGGCTGCAACAGTACCAAGTCTTGGCAGCTATCATATCAGAGACGTAGGTGGCCAATAAGTTCTCGCTTTTTGTTAGTTCAGGAAGTAGCTAAGCACAAACAACAGAAGTATTTCGGTTGGAAGGGACTTAGAACAATCATCTAGTCCAATGACCTGATCAGTTCAGGACTGATCAAAAGTTAAAACACATTATTAAGGATATTGTCCAGATGCATCTTAAACACTGATAGGTTTGGGGCATCAGTCACCTCTCCAGGAAGCCTGTTCCAACATTTGATAACCCTCTTGCAATCATAGAATCATTCAGGTTGGAAAAGACCTCCAAGATCGTTAAGTCTGACCCTTGACTGAATACCACCATGTCAACTAGATCATGGTACTAAGTGCCACATCCAGTCATTTCTTGAACACTCCTAAGGATGGTGATGCCATCACCTCCCTGGGAAGCCTGTTCCAATGTTTAAATACCCTTACAGTGAAGAAATTCTTCCTGATGTTCAACCTGAACCTCTCTTGGTACAGCTTGAGGCTGTGTCCTCAAAGAGACTGATCCCCACCTTGCTACAACCTCCTTTCAGGTAGTTGTGGAGAGCAATAACGTCTCCCCTTGGCCTCCTTTTCTCTAGCCCTGCTCCCTCAGCTGGTTCTTGTATGATTTACTCTCTGGACCTTTCACCAACTTCTTTGCCCTTGGTAAAGAAACTATTCCTACTGTCAAGTCTGAATCTCCCCTGATGTTTGAAACATTCCCAGGTGTCCTGTCACCGAATCCCAGGAAAAGACCAGCACCTCCCTTTCCACATCCCTCCTCAGGAAGCTCTACAGAGCAAGGAGGTCACCCCTCAGCCCCTTCTCTCCAAACTACACAACCCCAGGGTCCTCAGCTGCTCCTCACAGGACATGCCTTCCAGCTCTTCCACCAGTGTTGTTGCCCTCCTGTGGACCATTCAAGGACTTTCATGTCCTTCTCAGACTGTGGGGCCCAGCACTGCACACAGGACTCAGGGTGAGGCCGCACCACGGCTGAGTACAGCGGGATGATCTGCTTTTGGCAGCTGCTGATGCTGTGTCTGATGCACCCCAGGGTAGGGTTTGCCCTCCTGGCTGCCCGGGCACACTGCTGACTCACACTGAGCTGCTGCCCACCAGCACCCCCAGATCCTTCTGTAGGGTGTAGTGGCTGGTCTCCAGACACTCCTCTCCCAGTTTATACTTGTGTCCAGCGGTACTCCATCCCAGGGGCAGAGTCTGGTATTTGTTCTTGTAAAATTTTATGCCATTGATAATTGACCAGTGCTCCAAACTACGCAGATCCCTCTGCAAAGCTCTTTTCCCTCAAGAGAATCAACAGGATCTTCCAATTTGGTATCAACAGCGCACCTGGAGTGCATTTAACTCCTGCATCCAGATCACTGATACAAACATTAAAAAGATATAAGGCTGCCTAACTGTGCCTGGATCATGTTCAACCTCTTAGAAAGGGCGATCGAGGAGCTCAACAGACCACATGGAAAACAAGCAGTACCATAAGAATATTTAAGGAACACCAGGTTTGGTTGTTTTTTTGCACAAGCTTTCAGCAGGTGACAGGGGGTGAGGGAGGGAGCGGAGCAGAGGCGGGAGGAGGTGGTGGGGTCGCCCCCCGCAGCCCCCGGCGCGGAGCCCCCAACTCACCGTTCCCGAGGCTCCCTGAAGGCCTGCGCGCCACACAAACGCCGCGCGCACCGGTAGCCAATGTGAGGAGGGCGTCCAATCATCGCGAGTGTTTCGCTGCCGGCGGCGCCGGGCGGCGCGCACAAGGCGGGATTTTGGCGGCCGCCATTTTCTCGCTCTCCGGCAGTCGCCGCTCCCATTCTCCTGGGCCGCCCTCCGCTGCCCGCGCCGCTGACAGCGCGGCTCCCGCCGCCCAGGTAGGAAAGCCTGGCCGGCCGCGGTGCGAATCTGACGGCGCCGCCTTCCCCTCGGCTCGTTTCGCCCTGTTCCTCACGGAGGGCGGGGCGGGGCGGGGCGCCGCCCCCCCGCGCTGACAGGCAGCGGCCTCATCCAACGGGGCAGCGGCGGCGCCGCTCGGGAAGGGCGGTGGAGCCAATCGCAGGTGGTGCTGCTGGATGTGCGCGTCGGCGGCCGCGGTTGCTGCCTTTTCTCTCCCGTGCGCGGAGGGGCCGGCGGCGGGTGTAGGTATGCGCACCCGCGGTGCGGTGTGGCCGGGGCCGGCGAGGAGGGGGAGAGGGCGGGAGGAGGGTGCAGGCCGATCCGGGCCTCTCCTAGGCCGTCAGAGCCGCCGCCAGGTCCCGCTCGGCGCCGCTGCGTGACACAGCCGTGCGGGAGGGCCTGGGGCCAATGTCGCGGGCCTCAGCCCCCGGGGCTGCCGCGGTCTCGGGGCTCCCGTGATCTCCGAAAGGATGGCGGTGCAGCGGGGTGGGGTCTGCGTGGAAGAGAGCTGGGTGTCCCCCCCTCGGCTGTCGCCACCTCGGCATGATTCCCTCGTGCCCCGCGGCGACAGCGCGCAGCTCGGCCGTGGGCGCTGCCGCCTGGCCAGCGCGGGTTCCGCAGCGCCGGCGGGTGCGCTTCAAGGGCGGAGGAGCGGCCGCCGCCCTCCCGCGCCCGCCCTTGCTGCCTCTGTGCCCGGGGCGAGCTGCTGTGGTGGATTATGGCGGGCGCAGGGAGGACGCTCCGGGCCGGGCCCAGCCGCGGGGGCCCATCGGAGACCGCCCCGCGTGGCGGCCGCGCCGCTGTCGGGGGCCGGGCGGAGCTCCCGCGCTGGCGGGGCTGCCCCGCTCCGTCGTGCCTCGGGCCACCGGGCGCCTCCTTTGTGTACGCCCGGGCGGAACCGGCTAACTCTTCCCGCGGCCTCGTGGTGGTGGCGGCGACCCTTCTGCTGCCGGCTCCGCCTCGCCGCGGGCGGGCGGGCGCCATTTCGGAGAGCGCCATATCTACCGCTCCGCGGGTGCTCTGCGGCGCCGCCGCTCCTGCCGCGCTCTCTGCTGCGCCGGGCGGGCGGCTGGAGGCGCAGGGAGAGGGAGGGAGACGGAGGGAGGGAGGCAAGCGGGTGGCAAGAGCCGCTGCGTCCTGGAGGGAGCGGGACTGAGGCGCGCTGGCGTTTCCCAGCTCTTATGTGTGTGGTCGCTGGTCCCGCTTCTCGTGGCCGCTTTAGCTTTTCTTTTTAGTTTTTAAGAAACCCGACTCAATTAGTGATTTCAACGTCCTTGATTCACCCAGTTGAGCGAGGCTAGAGAGCAGCTGACGTATAGGCAGGTTTGACTAGGGGAGACTGAGCCGTGAATTGTAAATGTAACTGATATTACAGTTCGCCCCCTGCAGCCCTAAAATTCTTGGAATAGTTGGAAACAGATTACCCGGGGGCCGAGACGGCTATTACACCGTGACTGGTCGTTCCCTACCCTTCGTACGCGTAGCAGCGCAGATTTCACAATGTATGCCTGAGATCCCGGCATCGTTAACTCTGCGTGCCCGTTAGCTCGTTTCAATTGCCTGGGAAGGCAGTGCATGCTGTTAGCTCCTACAGGCGGGGCAGCAGTTACACAGCTGTCTGAGAGTGTATTTATAAAGTTACAACCACGTTTTGGTTTTGTTTTTTTTTTTGTTGGTACCACGATGAGTGCCTGCCACTTGTTACGGCAATTGAAATTAGTGCAGTATGAAGGGAAATATACGATTATTTTGCTGCATTGTCTGTAAATCACATTTCTTAAGATAATAAGTTGCAAAATTATTTATTTTGTCTGCACTTCTCTCTAATGTGATTTATTAGCATTCCAAGATAAACTTAAAAATAGCAGGTTGCAATCTATTTCAGAAAATCATAGTGAGATTCAGTTCTTTTGGAGTTCTTGTGTGTGCACAGAGGATTATATGAGGATTATACACAGAGGATGGTATTTCTAAAAACAGATTTTTTAAAATGTAGCTAGAAGTTGTAATTTGTATTCTGTTCATCAATTATACTTGATTGGCAGGCATGCTCAAATGCTTGCTAGTATGTTGGTAGAAAATTTGTAAAAGTAATGCTGACAATTACCATAATAGGAGTTTATTTTCAAGTTTAAATTGTGTATACCTAAAAGACAGGAGCAGATTCTTATGTAGTGTCCTTTTATAAAGTGAAACGAAGGCAGATGTATCGTATAACATCTTAAAAATAAGAGCTGAATGCAGTTCACTTTAAATTTCTCAAAATAATTTTTAGTAAATGTGTTACTTAAAAGTACTATGTGCCCAAAAACTGAAATTCAGATGGTAAGAGTTTATGTAAGTCTACAGACTTGACTTTTATCTCCTCTGAGTGATGTGTTTATCTTGGGTATGATTTTTCTTTTATAAAGAAAAGATTTGTGATAGCTTAGGTCAAACCTCTGTGTTTTGGTTGTAGTGAGAATCACAGCTGTTACGTGAGGAGACTCACAACTGCTATATGCTGTTTTCGTAGGCTCTTGAAGCAATAAGCTGCTGGATTTCGATCCCGCCCAGAATACTTGAGTTTTTCTCTACAGGGATATATAAGAGCGGTAAGTTCTAGCAGCAGACATTTATTTTTGTTACTGTTTTTGCTTTAGCATGACGTGCAGTTTGCCTTTTGACAGACTAGATGTACCATCTCTTTTATTTTTCAACAGGTTTTGCTTGCCCACATAAGAAAAAAAGGCAATGGAGACTGAACAACAGGAAGAGACCTTTACCAACACAGAGACAAATGGTAAATCTTTTAAAGGACTATTTCTTTTTAGAAAGAACCTCTTTAAAATGTTTCTAATAATGTTGTAATGATTTAACTTTACCATACGTTTGTATCAGCAGGAGTTTTGCATTTTGTATTAAATATTTTTGGTCTTAATTAGGCTGTGGCATTACATATTTTTTGAAGCATAAAGACATAATCTTTCTGTTGGCATCTTTTAGACATGAGATAAGTAACTGAAAGTTATGACTAGGATTAAAAAGTATTTCAAAGCTGTGTGGAGGATGTGAACATGTAAGAATATCCGCCGTATCCATTTTTTTGTTTATTGCAGTTGTTACATGCAGGAATACCAATATGAAAAATACTCTAAAGCACTTCATGCAGAATTTCTTGGGAATAATTACCAAGGAAGTTAGGACATCACTGTTGCTGATTTGTGCCAGTTTTTCCCAAACAGTATCTGAAGTGCTACTTTACTATTATTCCACCACTATTTTAGTGTTGGCCAAACTACATTGTAGCTTTATACCTGAAACGTTTTCCCCAATTATAAATTATATATTATAAATTATAAATAAATACGAAGTAGGTGATGCTTCACTGCTTTAAAAAACGTGTCATGACTTTCTCAACAACATTCTCATTTAAGCCAAAGTTCATAGATCTTTTAAATGCATTTTTAGTAGTTAGCCAGTAAGAAAGCTGATGAAGTAAAGACTTGTTTTCATGCTGTGGATGCTCAGAACAGGCTTTTGTAATTAGTTTTGGACCAATATGAAAGAATGTATTAGTAGTACAAAGCATGAATTTGGCATACGTTCCATTTTATTGCGACTTAGAAAGTTAAATAATTGTTTATGTTTCCCCCCTATGGACCTCTCTACAGGCAAACGTCCTGCAGAAGATATGGAGGAAGAGCAGGCCTTCAAAAGATCTCGAAACACAGATGAAATGGTGGAACTGCGCATCTTGCTGCAGAGCAAAGTACGCTTTCTTGTTGTTACCATTTTTGCATGTAGCATTCTTCAAGACGGTGATGACAGAGTGTATGTTGAGATAGAAGTTTAGAAAGCATATGTGCTTTATTTAAAATGAGATAACTTATTAGAATAACTTTCAGTGTGCATGAAAGGTAGTTGCAGGTGTATTGCAATGGAATTGTCTACAGGGGTTCTTTTAAAAAGGTAAGTCCTGAAGGATCAATACAGGGGTTTTTTTTAAGGATTTAACTGCTGAAGAAGTAGAGCAACAGAAATCATAAGGTCTGCATTTGAGTAGAATGTTGTTATTTTGAGGGAAATGACTGTGAGTCTTTGGAAGAGAAGCTGTTTAAGGAATTTTGAGCTAATGATTTTAAATTAAATATGAGATATGAAAACTTAGGATTTTAGTAACCTTCCTAAACAGATCTACTGAACTTGTTCAACTGTGTCAACAGGAAGAAATGTGGGAGCAATACTTCAGGAGTTGCAGGGATTTTGTTGACAAGTGTAAATAGTTAAAAGTTGCTATATATGAATTTCCTCTGTTGTTCTCACTTGCTACAGATTACTTGTTGTTTCTGAAATATCTCAGTCTTTTGTGTTGGCATGGAAGAATGTTGCCTTAACTCCATGTGCCATTTCTGACCAATAGTTGGTTTACTTGGAGTACCATTAAATGTTTTGCATGCTTTTAGCATAAGTATGATCTGTGTAATAAAAGCAATATTTTATATGTAATCCTTGAGAGAACCTGGTAAAAATTTAGTTTTGCAATTACTGTTCTTCACTATGTACCAGTTTATTCCTGGTGGCTTGAATAAAGTAGGGGCTGTTAACATTCACTTTAACCATTTTCAGAATATACTGCTCTGAGAAATTAATTACATTACAGAGGCATAAACCAAAATTAGCCCTTGGAATTATCAAATATTGAGAGCACGAAAGTGAAATTTGCAAAGGTACTTCTTAAAAAAAGAAAAAAGAAAAAATTATCAATTAAACTAAGCAAATCGTTGACTTATATTACATTCATACAGTATTTTTTGCAAAGGATACAGTCTATGAGATAAGTTTAGCATGGGCAGAATTGCC